AGTGAAACCCCATCTCTACTAAAAATACAAAAATTAGCTGGGTGTGGCGGTGCACACCTGTTATCTCAGCTACTCGGGATGCTGAGGCAGGAGAATCACTTGAACCTGGGAGGCAGAGTTGCAGTGAGCTTAGGTCATGCCACTGCACTCCAGCCTGGTGACTGAGTGAGACTCCATCTTAGAAAAAAAGAAGAAAAACAGCTCTAGGGTTTGGGTATGGTGGCTCACACCTATAAGCCCAGCATTTTGGGAGGCCAAGGCAGGTGGATCACTTGAGGTCAGGAGTTTGAGACCAGCCTGGACAACATGGTGAAACACCATCTCTACTAAAAGTATAAAAATTAGCCAAGGATGGTGGCACATGCCTGTAATCCCAGATACTCAGGTGGCTGAGACATGAGAATTGCTTGAACCTGGGAGGTGGAGGTTGCAGCGAGCCCAGATCGCACCAGCGCACTGCAGCTTGGGTGACAGTGTGAGATTCTGTCTCAAAAGAATTGTAAGTAACACTGAGCTGGCATTGAGTTTTACCATTTCCCTCCTCTGGTGTCTCCCAGTCTGTCTTCCAGGAGGCCTGAACTTGGAAGTGGACTTGGGTGGAGAAAGACAGGGCTCAGGACAGCCTTCCTGATCCAGCTGAGGAGCAGGAAACAGTCTCCTACCATGCAGAGAGAGTGCAAGAAACTCTTTTCTCTTTACTCCATTTTCTTGTGCCTCAGTCCTTTGTAGCCCACTGGCACCTCATTTCTGATAAGTAGAGCGGTGGCCTAAGCAGGTGGGCATACTCCATTGCTTTTTCACTCTTTCTGCCCTTTTATTGCTTGACGCCATGGTCACAGCAAGCAAGGTGTAGAATGAAGTAAATAATCCCCTTGCTTGGGTGACGCTCTGAAAAGATGAGCTCCTAGGAGCTGGCAAGGACCAGGGAAATTATGGCATGTGAGGAGTTCAGGACAGGGAACTCGAAAAGTTGTTTTTGAGCTCCTGGGCTCATCACTGTGATAGTTAATTCTTTCATTTTTAGTGGACATGTAATAATTGCATATGTTTATGGGATACAGGGTGATATTTCCATATGTGTATACAATGTGTAAATGATCAAGTCAGGGTAATTAGCATATCCAACACCTCAGACATTTTCATTTCTTTGTTTTGTGAACATTCAAAATCCTCTCTCCTAGCTTTTGGAAAATATGCAATAAATTCTTGTTAACCACATTCACTCTACAGTGTTTCAGAACAGAGCTCATTCCTCCTATCTAGCTGTCATTTTGTATGTTACCCAGCCTCTCCCCAGCCTCCTCTCCTCCCTACACTTTCTAGCATCTAATGCCCACAATTCTACTCTCTACTTTCATGAGTTCAAAATTGTTCTAGCTCCCACATATGAATGCGAACATCTTTCTGTGTCTGTTTTATTTTGCTTAACATAATGTCCTCCAGGCTCATTCATGTTGTCATGAATGACAGGATGTCATTGATCTGGCTAAATAATATTCCACTGTGTTTGTGTGTGTGTGTGTGTGTGTGTGTGTGTGTGTGTATGTGTGTGTGTAAAGTTTTGGAAGAAAACATAGGAAGAAATCTTCATAACTTGAGATTAGGGAAAGAGTTCTTAGACAAGACGCCAAGTGCACATAAAAGCAAAAATCCATTAATTAGACTTGATCAAAATGAAACAATATAGCAAAAGAGACTGAAAAGACAGCTACAGATTGGGAGAGAATATCTGCAAACCACACATCCAACAAAGAAAGTATTTGACATATACAAAGAATTCTCAAAATCAACAGTTAGAGAACCATCCAAACAAAAATGGGTAAAAGACTTGGACCCTCACCAAAGAGGATGCTCTATTTGGAGCACAGTAAGCCTATGAGAGATCGTCAACACTAGTCATTCGGGAAATGCAAATCAAACCATAGTGAGGTAGTGAGGTGCCAGGAAAGTAGTTTGACAGCTCTGTTAAATCACATGGCCCAGCAGTCCCACAGCTATTTTCCCTGGAGAAAGGAAAAATTGTGTTCCCATGAAAACCTCTATACAAATGTTTATAGCAACTCTATCCATAATCATCCAAATCTGGACACAACCACACGTCCTCCCATTGATGAAGGGGTAACCACCTGTGTCTCCCTGTGCAGGCAAACACCATTCCACAATCAAAAGGAACAGGCCACTGACACACAGAGCAATGGGGATGGAGCTCAAAAACATGATTCTTAGTGAAAGCAACCAGTTACAAAGATCCCATGCTGTGTGTCTCCACCCACACGACCTTCCGAGACAACAGTGTGACAGGGATGGAAGGTGCAGCACCAGTCAGCAGGGTGTGGTGGGGAGGGCTGGACTCCAGCAAGCGGGGTGCCACTCTTCGGCATCCTGACTGTGGAACCTCACAGGTGTGAAAATTCTCAGACCTAAACACCTCTTTAAAGTGAGATCAGATGGGGAAATAAGACGAACTTTTTGTCTTCTGTTTCATATAGTCACCACGTGTACAGTGGTGACCCTTGAACAACACAAGTCTGAACTACATGGGTGCACCTATATACAGATTTTTTCTTAAAAAATTTTTAAATGAAATCTTCTTAGATAGACACAGGGTCTCCTTATGTTGCTCAGGCTGGTCTCAAATTCTGGGACTCAAGCAACCCTCCCATCTTGGCCTCCAAAATTGCTGGGATCATAGGCATGAACCACCACACCTGGCCCGGGTTGTTTTCGATAAATATTTTGAAAAATCCTTTGGAGATGTGTAACCATTTGAAGAAACTTGTAGATGAAACTTGTATCCTAGAAATATTGAACAAGTTGAGAAAAAAAGGTATGTCATGCAAAAATGAGCTGAGCATGCTGATGCGTGCCTGGAATCCCAGCTACTCAGGAGGCTGAGGCAGGAGAATCGCTTGAATCAGGACTTAGGAAGTGGAGATTGCAGTGAGCCAAGATTGTGCCATTGCACTCCAGCCTAGGTGACAGAGTGAGACTCCCTCTCAACAAAAAGAAAAAAAAAGGTATGTCATGAATATGCATAAAATATATGTAGACACTAGTTTATTTTTATCATTTAGTACCATAAAATATACAGAAATCTATTATAAACAGTTAACATTTATCAAAAGTTACACACACAAACACAGTACATGGTGCTATTCAGCCCAGAGAAACATAAACAAACGTAAAGATGCAGTATTAAGTCATAACTGCACAGATTAATGGGAGCGCACTGTACTACTGGAGTAATTCTGCCACCACTCCTGCTGCCATTGCCGTGAGCTAGTGTCGAGAGTGTTCACTTCAAATGCCATGTGACACTAGCCGTCTCCGCGTGAGCACCTGTCTCTCCTGTAGATTGTGTATCACCGTGAAACCTGATCCATCATGGTTCTCATGTATTTTTCATGTTTAGTGCAATACCATAAACCTGAAGAACACATTAGGATGCATATGAAGTGCCACTGGTGATGCTGGAAGTGCTCCCAAGAAGCAGAGAAAAGTCATGGCATTACAAGCAAACGGTGGATTGATTGACATGTGCTGTAGACAGAGGCCTGCAGTTGCCGTTGCCCACCATTTCAAGATAAATGATCCAGCCTAAGATCCGTTGTAAAGAAAGAAAAGGAAATTCTCAATGTCATCACTGCAGCCATCCCAGCAGACGCGAAACCTTGATCTTTTTGCCAAATACGTTTTTATCTAGTGCAGTTTTTGGCTGGATGTAGTAGCTCATGCCTGTAATCCCAGCACTTCGGGAGGCTGAGGCAGGGGAATCACGTAAGCCCAGGAGATGAAGGCCTTGTCTAGAAAAAAAAAGGAGAGAAGAAGAAAGGAAAGAAAGAGAGAGAAAGAGAGAAAATGCAGCTTTGATGTGAGTGCAGGATATCTATAAGAAAATCACATGTATAGACCCTAATGCGATTCCAGAAAAACTGATGTCATTATATGACAACTTAAAGCAAAGGATGGTGGAGGATAATGGCTTAAAATTATGAGACCTACAAATCTGGAGAGGCTAAAGTACAGTGGCACAATCAAGACTCACTGCAGCCTCGACCTCCCGGGCAATCCCCCATGTCAGCTTCCCAAGTAGCTGGAACTGCCAGTGTGTGCCTCCGTGCCTGGCTCATTTTCAAACTTGTTTTTGTAGAGACAGGGATCCCACTATGTTGCCCAGCTGACCTTGAACTCTTGAGGTCAAGCAATCCTCCCACCTTGGCCTTCTAAGATGCTGAGATTATAGGCATGAGCTACTGTGCCAGGCCAAGAGCTGTATTTCATTTATTTATTTATTGACAGAGTTTAGCTCTGTCACCAAGGCTGGAGTGCAGTGTTACAATCTCAGTTCACCGCAACCTCTGCCTCCCAGGTTTAAGTGATTCTTCTGCATCAGCCAGCCGATTAGCTGGGACCACAGGCACATGCCACTGCATCTGGCCAATTTTTGTATTTTTAGTAGAGATGGGGTTCACCATGTTGGCCAGGCTGGGCTCAAACTCCTGGTCTCAAGAGTCAGACCCCAAGCCTGACTCCAACTGTGTCCACAGGAAGTCCAGCCCCGACAGTGCCGTCGTTGCCTTTGAGCCAGACCCAAGGCAATGGGAGAGCATTGAGTTTGTCTCCCCTCAGACCGTGGGACTGAGCCTGGAGAGAGAAGTCGCTTGACTGCTGCCACTTGTTGTCAGGACAGTATGTGAGTGTCTGGAGACACCATAGCTGACTCCAATCCTGCAGCGCTGAGGACCCCTCCAGGCTCCTCTCTCCTGGAAGTGCTGCAGATACCCCGTGCCCCGTGGTTGATGACACCACCACCTCCTGCCTACCCATGGGGCCAAGTTCCTGTGGCTGGTTACAGGGCATCTGGCCCCTGCCACCCAGGATAGACACACCTCACAGCTGATCTGCCATGCAGAGCCCTGGCCCCTGGGGACTCTTAAGCCCCCCAGCTGTGTCAGATGTCTCAGGGTGTGGCCTGGGCCTGGATCCCACTGGAAGGCCTGATGGCTGGCAGCACAGTGTGTGCTCTGGGAAGAAACAGCTGCCCTGGCCGCAGAGGGATCCCCGCACTTCCTGACGCCAGCCCATATCCTGACAGTGGGGTCTGTCCTCTGAGTGGCAGGTGGCAGTCCAGGTGCAGTGGGGAGCCTGCTGTGGGGATTTGGAAGTTTGGATAGTCTCTGGTGATCTCAGGGTGTCTCCTTAAAGGAACTAGCCTGCCCCTCTGCAGCCTCCCCTGTCCAGAGTTTTCTTTCAGGTGAATATTTGCTTTCTTGAAAAGTGGATTATAGTTCTTAGCTCAGATTTGATGTGGCCAAAAGAAATTCTTGTAGGAAATGTAACTGATGTTTCTATCAACTTACAAGTGCTTCATGCGGATCTTAGATCTTCTGTCGCTTCATGCCTTTGGTAGCCCATCACAACAATAGTTGAAATGTCAGCTGTAGATATGTTGATTTCTGATTTCCTCAAGAATAGGAGAAGCTGAGTCTCAAAGGGGAATATCTGCCTATTTGCATGTCCATTCTACAATTAAAGAAAACATTTTTTTTGAGACAGAGTCTTGTTCTGTTACCAGGCTGGATTGCAGTGGTATGATTTCGGCTCACAGCAATCTCCACCTCCCAGGTTCAAACAATTCTCCTGTCTCAGCCTCTCAAGTAGCTGGGACTACAGGCACGTACCACCACACCCAGCTAATTCTTGTATTTTTAGTAGAGACAGGGTTTTACCATGTTGGCCAGGATGGTCTCCATCTCTTGACCTTGTGATCTGCCCGCCCACCTCAGCCTCCCAAAGTGGGCAATTACAGGCATGAGTCACCGTGCCCAGCCCATTCTACAGTTTTTTTTAAAAAGTCAAGCTGAGTTTTATAAATACCTAGACTGATAAATGAAAGAAAGAGAAACAATTATGGTTTTTACAAAAGTTTATTTCTTTGTGCATTATATCCCATAACCAAAATCTAATTGCAAAATCAAATATTCACTGGAAAGATTAAGTAAAATTGTGAAATTCTTCTAGAGGTGTAATTGACAAAAATGGTGCTATGATTTGTTTGTCGTCTCTGAAATTCATGCTGAAACTTAATCTGCAATGTAACAGTATTAAGAGATGAGAGATGAGTCCTTTAAGAGATAACGAGCATGAAGCCTCTGCCTTCATGAATGGATTAATCTGTTTCTGAATGAGTGGGTTGATGGGTGAGTAGGGATGATGGGGAATGAGTTATCATGAGAGTGGGTCTGTTATAAAATCCTGTTTGGCTCTGTCTCCTGCCTGCCTCTTTCCATGTGATGCCGTCCACCATGTTGTGACGTAGAATGAGGCCCTTACCAAAAGCCGACCAGCTGTGGCCCCTTGACTGTGGATTCCTAGCATGTAAGAAATAAATTTCACTACATGGATGTACTACATGATGAAAAAGAAAAAAAAAAGAGCCAGGTGAGTTGGCTCAAGCCTGTAATCCCAGCACTTTGGGAGGCTGAGGTGGGCAGATCACCTGAGGTCAGGAGTTTGAGACCAGCCTGACCAACATGGTGAAACCTCATTTCTACCAAAAATACAAAATTAGCCAGGCATGGTGACGCATGCTTGTAATCCCAGCTACTCAGGAGGCTGAGGCAGGAGAATCACTTGAACCCAGGAGGTGGAGGTTGTAGTGAGCTGAGATTGTGTCATTGCACTTCAGCCTGGGCAACAAGAATGAAATCTGCCTCAAAAAAAAAAAAAAAAAAGGAAGAAAAAGAAAAATTAGAAATAAAGAAATGAATTTCAGAAAACACACAGAGACAAATGGTATATATTTACGGTGTTCAACATGATGTTTTGATATATGTATATATTGTGAGGTGATTACCACAATGAAGTTAATGAATGTATCATCATCTCACATAGTTATCTTTCATCATGGTGAAAACATTCAAAATCTACTTTCTTAGCAACTTTCAAATATTGTATAATTTATTTATTTATTTATTTTTGAGACGGGGTCTGACTTTGTCTCCCAGGCTGGAGTACACTAGCATGATCTTGGCTCACTGCAACCTTCTCCTCCCAGGTTCAAGCAATTCTCCCGCCTCAACCTCCCAAGTAGTTGGGATTACAGATGCTCGCCACCATGCTTGGCTAGTTTTTGTATTTTTAGTAGAGACGGGGTTTTACCATGTTAGCCAGGCTGGTCTCAAACTCCTGAACTCAAGTGATCCACCTGCCTTGGCCTCCCGAAGTGCTGGGATTACAGGCGTGAGCCACCACGCCCAGTATGTATTATTTATTACAGACACTATGCTGTATATTAGATCTCATGGCACACGGCAACTCCAAGTAGGCTGTGATCTTCCATCCTCTAAAACCATGGTGTATGCGTGGTCTCTCCATTGACCCTTGGTATTTTCTTAAGAGATGTTTGAGCTGGGCATGGTGGCTCACGCCTGTAGTCCCAGCACTTTGGGAGGCCGAGGCAGGTAGATCATCTGAGGTCGGGAGTTCAAGACCAGCAGACCGACATGGAGAAACCCTGTCTCAACAAAAATACAAAAAATTAGCCAGGCGTGGTGGCTCATGCCTGTAATCCCAGCTACTTGGGAGGCTGAGGCAGGAGAATCACTTGAACCTGGCAGGTGGGGGTGGCAGTGAGCTGAGATCATGCCATTATACTCTAGCCTGGGTAACAATAGAAAAACTTTCTCTCAAAAAAAAAAATAAATAAATAAGCTGTTTTGAAATGTGAGCCAAACCAAATGTTTTGGTTCCTCTTCGTGGATAAAGCATCCTCCAGTGGCTTCTAGTTGTCCATCTTGCCTCTTTTCTGCTTTTAACCAACGGTGTGACAGGTATAACCCAGGTTTGAGTATATATATATAGTTGTTGTTAGGGTGTGGGCCTCTAGGTTTTTATTTCCTTATTTAAAATGAGAAAATATATCTGTAGGTCTTACCTTACAGTGATGTGTTCTTTCTGTTCCATTTTCTTCACCCTCTTAAGCAAAATATTTCTTTCTGAACTCATTTCTTTCTTCATGTACTCTATGTACAATATTCCGCTATGTACAGTACCAGCTAAGAGCAGGTGAGTCATGATAGTGATATTCTGTTTTCATTATTTTTCTCACTTCTGACTTCCAGGTATTCACAACCGACACAGATTTACCAAAAATTTACAGTGGCATAAATGTCATCTTTCTTTTAATTGCCTGCCTTTTTTTCTGTCTCCCTCCCTCCCTCCCTTCCTTCTCTCTCTCTCTCTCTCTCTCTCTCTCTTTCTTGAGACAAAGTCTCCATTGTCCAGGCTGGAGTGCAGTGGTGCTATCTCAGCTCACTGCAACCTCTGCCTCCCAGATTCAAGCAATTCTCCTGCCTCAGCCTCCCAAGTAGTTGGAACTACAGGCATATGCCACTACGCCCGGCTAATTTTTGTATTTTTTAGTAGAGATGGGATTTTGTCATATTGGCCAGGTTAGTCTCAAACCCCTGACCTCAAATGATCTGCACACTTTGGCCTCCCAAAGTGCTGGGATTACAGGAGTGAGCCACCGTGCCCAGCCAGGCTGTCATCTTTCTAGGATTCAGAAAAGTTTTGTATCACCCATGGCCTGTCTCCAGAGACAAATCTACCCATATAAGTTTTCCTATTATGTCATTTTACCAAAATAAACAATGGGATGATTGTATCCATCAGAGTTCCAACCGAGAAAGAGAACCAGTATTATTTAGAGATTTATTGCCAAGAACTGGTTTATGTGATTGTGGAGGCTCACTTGGGAATGTCCAAACTCCATAGGAAAGGTTGGAACTCTTGGGCAAGAGCTGATGCTGCTGTTCAAAGGCAGAATTTCTTCTTCATGGAAGACTCAGTTCTGTTTTGAAGGCCTTTTTTTCCAACTAATTCAGTAATCAGGACCACTTATTTAAAGTCAGTTGAGCCAGGCACGGTGGCTGACATCTGTAATCCTTGCACTTTGGGAAGTTGAGGCTGGTAGGTCACCTGAGGGTAGGGGTTCGAGACCAGCCTGGCCAACATGGTGAAAACCCATCTCTACTAAAAATACAAAATTAGCTGGGCATGGTGGCGCATGCCTGTAATCCCAGCTACTTGGGAGGCTGAGGGAGGAGAATCGCTTGAACATGGGAAGTGGAGGTTGCAGTAAGCTGAGATCATGCCACTGCACTCCAGCCTAGGCAACGGGTGAGACTCTGTCAAAAAAAAAAAAAAAAAAAAAAAAAGCCATCTGCTTCAAGATGCTAAGAAACACGACAAAACTAGTGAATCCACGATCCATGAATGTGGGCCCATTGCTTTACTTCATTTGCTAGGAAGTGAGTTCCTTGGTTGGAAGCAATGTTATATATGGAGTACCATGACAGGAGATAAGGTATTCTGTAAATTTACAGGTAGTTCTTTTGGCCAAAGGGTTGAGTGCAGGGAAGGCAAAATCACATGTAGCGTGTCTATTCCAGTAAGAACAAACTTCATTTTTTTCCCACAGAGGTAGTGGTCTAATGTAATTATTTTTCCTCTAGCTATATAGCTTATCACCCTGGGTGATGGTGCCATCCTGGGGACTCAGTGTTAGCCTCTGATGCTTTCTGTTGGTATGATTAGGAGTGTCCAATGAGGATGAATTGCCACATTTAGTCATGAACCCAGTGCCCTCTCTATTACTGGAACTAGTCATTAGTGCCCTTAAAGTTTATTTCATTAGAGAACTAATTTCAGAAACCCAGAATCAATTCAGAAAACTCGTCTATAATATTCTTTTTTTTTTAGACGGAGTTTTGCTGTTGTTGCCGAGGCTGGAGTGCAATGGCGCGTCTCAGCTCACTGCAACCTCCACCTCCCAGGTTCAAGTGATTCTCCTGCCTCAGCCTCCTGAGTAGCTGGGATTACAGGCATCTGCCACCACGCCCAGCTAATTTTTTTGTATTTTTAGTAGAGATGGTGTTTCTCTATGTTGGTCAGGCTAGTCTCAAACTCCCGACCTCAGGTGATCCGCCTACCTCGGCTTCCCAAAGTGCTGGGATTACAGGCGTGAGCCACCACGCCCAGACAAGCTCTTTTGTTATACAGCCACCAACAGTACTGAAGTCCGTGTCAGTCAAAATTTGACCAAAGAAACAGAATCAGTTTTCAAGGAATTGACTTATACAATTGTGGGGGCTGACTAGGCAAGAAGGACATTTGTAGGGAAGGATACCTGGAAAGGTAAGCCGACACTCTCAGGCAGGAGCTAAAGTTGCTCTTCACTGGTAGGATTTTCTGCCTCAAGAGAGCTTTGCTCTGATTGGATCAGTCCCACTCACATTATATTGAATAACTGGCTTTAGGCAAAGCCAGTTGATTTTATATATTAACCACACCTGCAAAATGCAGTTGTAGCAACACCTGCATTAATGTTTGATTGATAAACTGCAGCGCTTAGACTAGCCAGCTTGACATAGCCAGACTACCACATTGATGATGGAATAAAATACATTTCAGGAAAGGCTGAGGAAAATGTGGAAACTACAAAATGAGACTCTCCATTCGTTAAATAATATGGCCAACCCAAAATAATTAAGAAATAAAAGAACCTGAACCCAGAGAACAAAATGCTTAAATACACGTAAACTAGGGAGCACAGAACCAAAGTCATGTTTGGAGAAGTGTAATAGATGCAAAATTACCTAGTGGAATCTGTACTTCTACTTAAAATTCAACTTACCCTTCATCTGATTACTTCAAATTCCTTTTAAGTGGTGTTAAATATTTAAATAAGGACTTAAGTGGAAAGGTATTTAAGAAATGGGTGCAGCTAGGCTCTGCGCCTCCGGCCTGTAGTTCCCGCATTTTGGGAGGTCAGGTGGGCCGATCACCTGAGGTCAAGAGGTCGAGAAGTGGGTGGGGCACTCCGAGTTGTGTTGTATCTTAGGTTCCTGGGAGTTGTTCAGTGAAGCCACTAGACTCTGGAATCCAGGCCACTCTTCCCAGGATGGATTTGGCCAAAAGTTCAAATGGTAAGCGCCTATCAGCCTGTGAGCTGTTCTCTGTGTTGATGCCAAAGGCCTTGTTTGTTTTCCAGAGTTTATGAAAGTTTAAATCGCAGCCGGGACCAGTGGCTCACGCCTGTAATCCCAGCACTTTGGGAGGCCGAGGTGAGCGGATCACCTGGGGTCAGGAGTACAAGGCCAGCCTGCCGAACGTGCTGAAACCCTGTCTCTTCTAAAAACAAAAATTTGCTAGGCGCAGCTAACTGGGATTAAGGGGCGTAGCGGCGGGCCCCTTAATCCCGGTTACTCGGGAGGCTGAGGCAGGATAATCGCCTGAACCCAGTGTGATATTGTGCTGACCTAGAGCCAGAACCTGAGCAACGCCATTTTATAAGATAAAGCTGTGTTTGGCTTCTGTAAATCAAGCTGCTAGCTTGCTCTGAAAAATGCCCACTATGTAAAGCTGCTTAAACTTTGCTTATCAAAACTGCTCTCTGTGGCCCTAATGTGACAGGCAAGCAGTCCTAACCCATGCCATCTTGGCTCCTGCGACTTGTAATAAGTAACTAAGGTCTGTGATTTTCACCTTACCCAGATAATGTATAAACAAATGTTGATCTTGACTTCTGTAAAACACTTAAGTAACAAACCGAATGACAAGAGTCCCCTGGCCCTTGGAATATCCGGAGCCCTCGTCTCCGCCCAGGAGATGATTTACAGAATCCACTAGCCCTCGGAATGTCTGAAGCCTTTTCATCCCCATCCCCTCTCCTCACCCCCAATCCCAAGGTGTTTTTTCGGGTATAAAAAGTCTTGGCACCCTCCTTTCAATGCCAAAGGTTGGAGAGACGTGAGTCCTCTGTGGTTGCCGGCATAATAAATGACCCTGCAATCTGGCATACTTTTGTCTTGGTGCTAACTTTCTACTCTCGGTCCGATATAATACAGGAAGCGGAGATTGCAGTGAGCCGAGATGACGCCACTGCACTCCAGCCTGGGCGACAGAGCGAGACTCTTGTCTCCAAAAAAAAAAAAGAGAAAGTTTAAATCACAATCATGATTCGTGATTAGAAGGATATGTTTTAACCTTTTAGTTTTTTACAGGATATTTACTTGTTTTATTTATTTATTTATTTTTTAAGATGGGGTTTTACCATGATGGCCAAGCTGGTTTTGAACTCCTGACCTCAGGTGATCCACCCACCTCCGCCTCCCAAAGTGCTAGGATTACAGACGTGAGCCACCACAGCCGGCTACTTGTTTTATTTTATGCATTTTTCTAATTCTATTGCTTCCTATTTTCTTGCATATACTACCACCATTGTGGAATTTCTGTAAGCTTTTGCTCTGTATACATAGATCATTACCTATCGTATTTCCTAAAATATGAACTTATCCCTCTATGTATCCTTATTAGCATGACTTAGGATGTGTTGCTAAAGTGAAAACATAGAGTGATCATTGGATATATTAGCTTTCCATCTGAAATAAACATAAAGTATGTGTCCATGCCAACAATTTAAACCTGTAAACACATTCTTCATATTCTTCTTTTATTCCTTTTCTTCTTTGCTCTTTCACTAGAAAGAGAGGCCCGTCGAAAGAGGATTGTTTTGAACCAGCATCAAAAAGATACCCTCCAGGCGTGGTTTGAAAAGAATCCCTATCCTGGCATAGCTACCAGGAATCAACTGGCCAAAGAAATTGACATTCCAGAGTCTAGAATTCAGGTAGGCATGAAGTTTCTATTTTCTCTCAAAGGTAAGGTAAAGAGAAAAGGTAGGCTAAGCACTTTCAAGCAGTTCTCTTAGGCCTCATATTTTGCCAAGAAGTTTATTCCTGTTATGTAATGAAAAAAAAAATAAAACAAAAGCAACAACTCTGTGTATCTCTTTTTTTTTCTTTTTCTTTTTCTGTTTTTTTTTTTTTTTCTGAGACAGGATGTCACTATCACTCGGAATGGGGTGTAATGGCTCAATCACAGCTCACTGCAGCCTTGATTTCCTGGGCTCAGTCAATCATCCCATCTCAGCCTTCCGAGTAGCTGGGTCCACAGGCACATGCCACCATGCCCAGCTAATTTATTAATTTTTTGAGACTGAGTCTCACTCAGTTGCCAGGCTGGAGTGCAATGGCTCCATCTTGGCTCACTTCAGCCTCCGCCTCCCGGGTTCAAATGATTCTGCTGCCTCAGCCTCCCGAGTGGCTGGGACTGCAGTCATGCACCACCATCCCTGGCTAATTTTCACAGTTTTAGTAGAGAGGGGGCTTTACCATGTTGGCCAGGCTGGTCTGGAACTCCTGACCTCAGGTGATCTGCCTGCCTCAGCCTCCCAGAGTGCTGGGATTATAGGTGTGAGCCACCGCACCCAGCTGCAATCTTCCCACCTCAGCTTCCCAAAGTGCTAAGATTATAGATTGAGCCACCACATCTGGCCCTAGTTTTTTTTTAATGTCCTTAATATGATTCATATGCCAGAATGTTTAAAATCCTATATTATTTGAATAAAATTATTGATGCAATAATTAAGATAATTTTTTTAAAGTTATTAAAAAGATAAAGTATATGTTGTCCCATGTGAGATGGTATTTAAACCAATGAAGATAAGTGAATATGTCTTTTTAGGGGTAAAAATTGAGTTCAGGTTTTAGCTTCTAATCTATAATCTCTGATTAGTTAGTTATAATAACCCCAATTTTTGAAAATAAGAGAATAAAATTTCCTTATGTTTGTAATTGCCTGATGAGTTCATCCTGCCTACTGTGCAGATGAAACCAATTGACCAAAACCATGGCTTAGCAATAAAGAATTTAATTGACAGGAGGTTGGCCACACCATGTGGAGATGTAGTTACTGCTTAAATCAACCTCCCTGAAATTTCAGAGGCTAGAATTTTTCAAGGATAGTCTGGCAGGTAAGGGAATGGATGAGATACCTGATTGGTTGGGCATGCAATCATAGGAGTGTGGAATATGGTCCTGTGCTAGTCTGCATCTGGGTGGTGCTGTCAGTTGTCAGAAGTGCAAAAGCCTGGAAAAGTGGCTCAAAAGGCCAATCTCAGATTCTGCAATAGTGGTGTTATCTGCAGGGGTAATTGGGGAAGTGTGGAGCCCTGGCTGGTAATCTTTCAGTCCACACCTCAGCAGAATTCAGGCTCCTAGCTCCTATCCTGGTGGTATTTCGCTACCTTTACAAAGGCTGTTTTAGGGAAGGGCTATTATCATGTAAGCTATAAACTAAATGTCTCTCAAAGTTAGCTTGGCCCAAGCCCAGGAATGCCTAAGGGCAGTTTGGAGGTTAAAGGAAAGCTGGGGCTGGGTGTGATGGCATGCACCTGCAGTCTCAGATACTTGAGAGATTGAGGCAGGAGAATAGCCTGAGCCCTGGAGGCGGAGGTTGCAGAAGCCAATATTGCACCACTGCACTCTAGCCTGGGCCACAAAGCAAGACTCTGTCCCAAAAATAAATTAATTAATAAAGGCAAGATGGGGGCTGGTTAGATCAGATCTCTTTCACTGTCATAATTTTCTCACTGTTATAATTTTTGCAAAGGCAGTTTCATGTTTAGATGATCTGTTCTGGGTATGGGAGATAGGATTTACTCAAATTCCAGTAATAAAATTGCTGCACGTGAGAACACTTGGTGATTTGCTGCCTGAGAGGCACTGAGCTCACTGGAAACTATAGTGAGAAGGAAAGACCAGGAAACAATGTAAGGTGCTGTTAACTCTCAGAGAATTTACAAATGTCTTCATTAGTTTAGATTCCAGCTGTGCGTAAGACTTTTTAACTGAAAATATTTTGATTAATTTAGAGAACAAATACAGCTTTCGAGCACAATGCTTGGGAATTAAGAGCTGCTCAATAGTGCCAACGAAAAGAGTTAAACTCTGTAAAATACTTCGTATTTGTTGTTTTTTTAACTTTTTGGTTCTTTTTCTTCTTTTTTCCTTTTTCTCCTTTTTCCCTTTCTTTCTTTCTTTTTTTTTTTTTCTTTTGAGACGGAGTTTTTGCTCTGTTGCCCAGGCTGGAGTACAGTGGTACGATCTCAGCTTACCGCAACCTCTGTCTCCCGAGTTCAAGCGATTCTCCTGCCTCAGCTTCCTGAGTAGCTGGGATTACAGGTGCCCACCACCAGGCCCGGCTAATTTTTGTATTTTTAGTAGAGATGGGGTTTTCTTATGTTGGCCAGGCTGGTCTCGAACTCTTGACCTCAGGTGATCCAGCTGCCTCAGTCTCCCAGAGACCAAGGACGACAGGCATGAGCCACTGCAGGCAGCCTTTCTTTTTTTACTTTTAGTTTTTTAACTTCTGCATAATGTCTGTAAAATAAATTTACTGAGCCAAATCTGAGTGACCCTGGCTCATGATGCAGCCCTTATGAAGTCCTGAGAACACGTGCCCCAGATAATTGGGATGCAACTTGCTTTTATACATTCTAAGTAGATATGAGACTTCAATTAAGCACTTTAAGAAATACAAGGCCAGCTATGGTGGCTCACTGCCAGAAATTTTGGGAGGCCGAGGCAGGCAGATCATTTGAAGTTCAGGAGTTTAAGACCAGCCTGGTCAATATGGTGAAACCTCGTCTCTACCCAAAATACAAAAATTAGCTGGGCATGGTAGCAGGCCTCTGTAATCCCAGCTACTTGGGAGGCTGAGGCAGGAGAATTGCCTGAATCTGGGAGGTACAGGTTGCAGTGAGCTGAGATGGCGACATTGCACTCCAGCCTGGGTGACCAGAGCGAAACTCCATCTCAAAAAAAAAAAAAAAAGAAAAAAGAAAAAAGAAAATGTCTGGGCTGCCAGAAGACTTTGTGGAGATCAGTATTTTATCATGCAGATGAAGCCTCCAGGTAGCAGGCTTCAGAGAGAATAGATTGTAAACGCTCCTTATCGGACTTAAGGTCTGTGTTGATGTTAATGCAGGCCTGAACCAGTCTCTTAGGTTAAACTTTTTTTTTTTTTTCTGAGGATAGAATCTCATTCTGTCCCCCAGCTTGGAGTTCAATGGCATAATCTTGGCTCTCTGCAACCTCTGCCTCCCGGGTTCAAGCAATTCTCCTGTCTCGGCCTCCTGAGTAGCTGTGATTACAGGCGTATGCCACCACGCCTGCTAATTTTGCTATTTTTTGTAGAGACAGGGCATCGCCATGTCGGTCAGACTGTTCTTGAACTCCTGACCTCGTGATCCGCCTGCCTCGGCCTTCCAAACTGCTAGGATTACAGGCATGAGCCACCTCACCCAGCAGGGTTAAATTTTAAGAGAGCCCGGATGGAGAAGGAAGTCCATTCAGTTGGCTGGGGGGGCCTTAGGATTTTATATTCGGGTTTACAATAGACATTGGTCATCATGAAGTTACAAATCTTACAATGGAATGACTTGATGGAATTACAATTGATTAATAGTGTTACTGGAAAGAGGTCCTGATCCAGACCCCAAGAGAGTTCTTCGATCTCCGAAAGAAAGAGTTGGAGGTGAATCCATAAAATGAAAGCAAGTTTATTAAGAAAGTAAAGGAAAAAGAATAGCTACTCCATAGGCAGAGCAGCAAAGTAGGCTACTCAACTAATTATAGTTATTACTTGATTTTATGCTAAATAAGGGGTGCATTATTGAAGAGTTTTCCAGGAAAGGGGTGGAGATTTTTCAGAACTGAGGATTCTTCCCTTTTTTCGACCATATAGGGTAACTTCCTGATGTTGCTATGGAATTTGTAAACTGTCAGAGTGCTGGTGGGAGTGACTTTTGGGATGCCAATGTATTTTAATTAGACGGGGCAGTGGCTCAAGCCTGTAATCTCAGCACTTCAGGAGGCTGAGGCCAGCAGGGCGCCCGAGCTCAGGAGTTGGAGACTGGCCTGGGCAACACAATGAAGCCTAGTCTCTAGTAAAAATACAAAAAATTAGCCGAGTGTTGTGGTGCCTGCCTGTAATTCCAGCTACTTGGGAGACTGAGGCATGAGAATCACATGAACCCAGGAGGCGGAGGTTGCAGTGAGCTAAGATGGCACTCTAGCCTGGGCCACAGAGAGAGACTCCGTCTCAAAAGGAAAAAAAAGTCACTTTTGTGACCATCTTGGTTTTGGTTGACTTCTTTACTGCAGGCTGTTCTATCAGCAAGGTCTTTGCAACCTGTATCTTGTGCTGACTTCCGTCTCATTGTGTGACTAAGAATGCCTGGGAATGCAGCTCAGTAGGTCTCAGCCTCATTTTAACCAGCCCTGTTCCAGATGGAGTCACTCTGGTTCAAATGCCTTAGACAGCAGGAGAAACGACATAGAAATTTAATGTGTATACGGGAGCCTTCACAGTGAAGACCCAACTTCCCAAAGAGTTATGGAAACTATATATACCATTCTGAGGCCACTAAAGAATATAGACTTGGAGCATGGCCGGAAACAAGTAAATCAGGTTTAGTGGCAAGACAGGTTAAGAGAGAGAAGAAGCTGGGCTAGGAAAGGTGGCCTCCCTCAAAGAGAATAGATGGTAAATGGTTATTTTTTGTTTTGTTTTGAGACAAGACCTCAGTTTGTCACCCAGGCTGGAGTGCGGTGGTGTGACCTTTGCTTACTGCGGCCTTGACCTCCCAGGTTCAATCTGCCCACCTCAGCCTTCTGAGTAGCTGGGACTACAGGTGCATGCCACATGCATATGGCTAATTTTTTCTTATTTTTTTTTCTTTGGTAGAGATGAGGCTTTGCTATATTGACCAGGCTTGTCTCAAACTCTCAAATTCAAGTGATCAGCCTGCCTTGGCCTCCCAAAGTGCTGGCATTAGAGGCACGAGTCACTGCACTCACTGGTAAATGTTTATTTTCAGACTTTCAAAGGTGTCAGACTCTCATTCTCCTAGATCTGGGAAAGGCATAGAAAGGGGTGGGGTAACGGTTACACTAATGGACACTCTTTACAGATGAAACTTCTTACCACAGCTTTTCAAGGCCCCTTCTGCTTGCTGACCAAATGGCAGCCATTAAAAAATATGTCAAATAAATATATTTGGGGGTAAAATATTTTAATTTCCTTCCTATCCAAATACAGTGTTCAGAAATAATTTAAAAACATGTGGCAATTTCTACTCCTATAATGAGGAAAAAAGCAAAAATCCAATTGGTTATGTTAGTGAAAATAATTTCAAAGCTAGGCGTCTGGGTTTCCAGGAGTCTTTTTATTTATTGCTGGCTCTGGAATAAAATAAGTAAGATGTAAGTGTGAAGATATGTTAGTCCAGCCATTTTCTGTGGCGAATTCTGCCTCCCTATCTTCAGACTAATCCTCAGGCAATTCTTGTGCCTCAGCCTCCCTAGTAGCTATGATTATAGGCACCCACCACCATATGTGGCTAATTTTTGTATTTTTGGTAGAGACAGGGTTTTTTCACCATGTTGACCAGGCTGGCGACACACACACACACACACACACACACACACCCAGATGTTGAATACCTACTTGACAAATGGGGGAGAGAGACTGAGAGAGAGAGAGGGAGAATTATTTTTTTTTTTTTTTTTGAGACAGAGTCCTCTACTAGGCTTCAAGAAATTCTTGTACCTCAGCCTCCCTAATAGCTGGGATTATAGGTGCCCACTAACATACCTGGCTAGTTTTTGTATTTTTAGTAGAGACAAGATTTTTTTCACCATGTTGGCCAGGCTGGTCTTGAACTCCTCACCTCAGGTGATCCACCTGCCTCAGCTCCCAAAGTGCTGAGATTACAGGCGTGAGCCACTGTACCTGGCTGAAAACAGTGTCTTAAGAAAATTGACTTTGGATACCACTGGAGAGACCATTAGAAGACATGCTAATTTGGGCTGGTAGTGATGCTGTCCTGAATTTCATGCTAATAATTTAAAGCAATAGCATGATTCTTAAAATAATACATTGCTTTTCTCATGAATATTACCCCAAGGGCAGATGCCAGATCAGTTTTGTTTGATTGGATTGTTGTGTGGAGTGATCTGAGTTACATCTTCTTCTTTCCCCACATCTTCTTGGGCCACTTAGGTTTGGTTTCAGAACCACAGATCGAGACAGAGACGACTGGGGTTAAAATGCTCCTCTGAGGAATACCAAACCCAGGGACAGACTAATCCTCAGTTTAGGACTCAAGGTAAGAACCCACCAGTCCAAATACAATTCCTCAATGGATCTCCTTGAGTGTATAAACAACTATGCATGCTGTGTCCACATTTTTCTGAAAAGAATGCTTAGACTAGGGACCAAATAGTAGTTCTGGGCATCCTAGTGTCAGAGATATAGACGTCATCTCACTATTTGGAGTAGGGGTGATACTGGTTGCCAGGAGGAGGCCCTCAAATGCAGGTGGGACCTTGACCCCAGCAGGTATTTAGGCTGTTGACACCATTGCATGAAGGAATTCAAGGATGAGTCAGAAAATAGTAAAAGCAGGGAGATTCATTGCAAAGTGAAAAGTCTTGTAACTGCCCAATGGATTCACCTTACCCACTGCCTCGACAGCCAATTTATCAATACAGGGGAATTACAATACAGAGTTATTTTCACAGAGCCAGCTGTGTGGGAGACTGGAGTTTTATTAAGTCAGTCTCCCTGAGCATTCAGGGATCAGCATTTTTAAGGATAATTTGGTGGGTGGGGAGACAGTGAATCAGGAGTGCTGATTGATCAGGTCAGAGATGAAATCTTAGGGAATCAAAGCTGTCCTCTTGGGCTCAGTCTGTTCCTGGGTAGGGGCCACGGGATCAGATTAAGTCAGTTTATTGATCGGGGTGGCACCAGCTGATCCATCAAGTACAGGGTCTACAAAGTATCTCAAGCACGGATCTTAGGTTTTAGAATAGTGATGTTATCCCCAGGAGCAATCTGGGGAGGGTCAGAACCTTGCAGCCTCTAGCTGCTTGGCTTCCAAACCATAATTTCTAATCTTGTGGCTAACTTGTTAGTTCTACAAATGCAGTCTAGTCCCCAGGCCAAGAAGGGGGGTTGTTTTGGGAAAGGGCTGTTATCATCTTTGTTTTAAACTATAAACTAAGTTCCTCCCAAAATTAGTTTGGCCTACACCCATTAATGAACAAGGACAGCTTGGCTGTTAGAAGCAAGATGGAGTTGGTTAGGTCAGGTCTATCACTGTTGTCAGTTATAATTCTCCAATGACAGTTTTGTGCCTGGAAGGAAGGTCTTGAGTATGAGTTATCCAGGTTTTTGGCATCTTGAACAAAGAATTGAACAAAATGAACAAACAGAGCAACAAAAGAATAAAACAGCAAAAGCAGAGACTTATTGCAACGAGAATACACTCTACAGGGTGGGAGTGAGACTCACCGGTGCAAGAGTCCTGACTGCAACGTGCTGTGGGATTTAAGCACCCTTTAGAGGCTTTCTGTTGGTTATCCACTATGTGAATGAAGGATTTGGCCCACAGCTAATAGAGGCAGCAGTGAATTGACCAGAGGTGGTCAGAGTTGGCACGCTATGCAAACAAAGGAGCAGCCCTCCGCAGATCAGAGGATTGAGTGAATTGGCACCTTATGCAAATAAGAGTGGCCTGCAGCCAATCAGAGACACTTTCCATTTGTGAGGCAGTGGAGTTGGGTGGGGAGCATGGAGGAGAAGTAGCTTCTGGTCCCCTGTTACTTGGGGATAGAGGTGGGGTTTTCCGTATGATCTAGTTCCAGGGAGTTGGCACAAACTGGCCTTGGGTTTTCTGTCTCCAGACCCTTTTCTCCTGCTTCAGTTTAATATACACTCAAGAAAGGGGAGTGTGGGTGTATTCAAGTCATGTGCAAGGGGTTTGGGCTGCTACCTTTATGGGTTTCTTATCCAAGGGATGGAATATTTATGAAGATTTTTGGAAAGAGGTGGAGATTTCTTAGAACTATGGTGTCACCTCTTTTTACACTAAATATTGGTGTTCCCAGAACTATCATGACACTGGTGGGTATGTAATTTAGGGAATTAATGAGCATATAAGAAGGTCCTAGGGGAAACCTAGCTCAAATCCAGCACCATGTTGGTTCCAGGTGATCTCAGCCAGCTTTGTTCATGTCTGTTTTTTTAAATTTATTTTTTGTTTCTTCACATTTTTTTTTTTTTTTTTTTTTTTTTTGTAGAGATGGTATTTTCCCATGTTGTCCAGGCTAGACTTGAACTCCTGTACTTTCATGATCCACCCACTTTGGCCTCCCAAAGTGCTGGGATTACAGGTGTGAGCCACTGTACCTGGCCACATATCCGTTTTTGTTTTTTTTTTATTTTTTGAGCTACGGTCACACTTTGTCACCCAGGCTGGAGTGCAGTGGCATGATTAAGGCTCACTGCATCCTTGACCTCCTGGGTTCAATCAATTCTCCCATCTCACCATTGCAAGTAGCTGGGACTACAGGCACATGCCATCACACCTGGTTAATTTTGTCATGTTGCCCAGGCTGGTCTTGAACTTATGTACATATTTTACAGTGTTTCATGATAGAAAATGGCCTTATTTGCCCCTTATTCTCTCTTCTTGTTGTAAATAAACATATGTTTAATACAAATTTAAGCTATACATGAAAACTCAGAACTTGGCTCAGCTTAAATTTAAGCTGATTTTTAAGCTTAAATTTAATTTAAGCTGATTTAAGATGTCAGCTTAAATCTTGTGTAGGATATTCTGATTTTTAAAATGTGAAGGTATTTTTATCTGTGCAATGCTGAGTGTAGGCCACCAGTTCCTAAATAGAGGTCCCTATACGTGCATTGTATGTGGTTGAAAAAACACAACTCTCTCCGCTCAAAAAAAAAAATAGGGATCCTCCCACCTCTGTCTCCCAAAGTGTTGGGATTACAGGTGTGAGCCATCATGCCTGGCCAACACCCAGTTTTTCAGGGTCTTGTCAGCCTATAGCCTCTACTCACATGTAACTGCTGCCTGGATTATTTTATTTTCCTGTGACCATCCTGTATTCCTGTCTCAGGGGAAACATAGGTTCTTACCAAGATGGGTTTTGGGCTGGGTGTGGTAGCTCACGCCTGTAATCCCAGCACTTTGGGAAGCCGAGGCGGGCAGATCACCTGAGGTCGGGAGTTTGAGACCAGCCTGGCCAACATGGTGAAACCCCATTTCTACTGAAAATACAAAAATTAGCTGGGTATGGTGGCACACACCTGTAATTTCAGCTACTTGGGGCAGGAGAATTGTTGAACCTGGGAGGGGGAGGTTGCAGGGAGCCAAGATCCTTGCCAGTGTACTCCAGCCTGAGCAAAACTCTATCACAAAAACAGAAGGGTTTTGAACCTCCCATTTCTGCAGCTGCCGAGCAGTGCAGTGTCCTGCTCTCCTGTCATCTCCGGGGTTCTATCCCAGGGACAGGACTGGCTGCTGAGTTCCAGAGGGCATGTTCAGAGAAAGTAAAGGTTGTCAGAATGGTATTCAAAAATTTGATTTTTCAGGTTTGAATGTGAAAACTGGCCTAAAAACCCTATTTTGTGCCCATGTTCTCTGTAGCTAAAGAAGCTGGACGAATTCGAACATCTATCACAAGAGCTCAAGCCAGTATCCTAGTTCAAGCCTTTGAGAAGAATCAATTCCCTGGAATTGCTACCAGGGAAGAACTGGCTAAACAAACCAGCCTTCCAGAATCCAGAATTCAGGTAAACTTTATGTTTTTGGCACCAAATGTGGCCCACCTAGGAGTGGTATTGCCTCCTGAGATGCTGCTGGATATATTTGAGCTGTTTTGGGTTATCTCAGTGATCTAGGGCAAAGGCATGGGATAGTAAACATATGGCATTGCAAGTTAGAGTCTGGCAAAGGGATGTGTTTTCTAATCATATTGCATACATTGAGAAACAATAGCAGGACAGAAGTGGAAACGTGAAAGTTGACATATTTTGAAAACAGAGTCAATGTTGCTAAGCCTTGGCAGTGTTGATTCAGCCTGACAGCTATGAGGGCTTTCTCCTCTGTGTGGTGGGATGTTCATCAGCATCCTGGGTCTACAGAATGCCAGTAGAGACACTGACCTCATCCCACCCGCTTTTGTAATAACCTAAAAAGTGTAGGAATATTTCCAATGACCCGCCATCAGGTTAAGGATAAGATTGCCCCAGTTAAAGATCCCTGGTCTTTGCAAATTATGGGGATTGTGGTTAAATATACATTAAATGTTGGTAATTTCTGAAGCACATTTATAGGGTAGTCTAGGCAGAAACTTTCAAAACCCTTCATTTGTATTTCTTTTTTTTTTTTTTTTTTTTAGGAGATGGAGTCTTGCTCTGTTGCCCAGGCTGGAGTGCAATGGCATGACCTCGGCTCACTGCAACCTCCACCTCCTTACAGGTGTGCACGACCATGCCCAGCTAATTTTTGTATTTTTAGTAGAGACAGGGTTTCACTATGTTGGCCAGGTGGGTCTCGAACTCCTGACTTCAGGTGATCCACCTGCCTCAGTCTCCCAAAGTGCTGGGATTACAGTCATGAGCCACGATGCCTGGCATGGAAGACAATTTTTCAAGGATGGGGTTGGGGGGAAATAGTTTCAAGATGAAACTGTTCCACTTCAGATTATCAGGCATTAGTTAGATTATTATAAGACTCAGATCCCTCACATGCGCAGTTCACAATAGGGTTTGCGCTCCTAGGAGAATCTAATGCTGCCGCTGATCTGACAGGAGGCGGAGCTCAGGTGGGAATACTTGCTTGCCTCCTGCTCACTTCCTGTTCAGCAGCCATGGGGTTGGGAACCCCTGTTTCACAAACAGAATGAGAGTAATATAAAATTATGTCATTCCAGAAATATAAAGGGAAAAGAATTCATGGATAAAGTTTCACAACTTTGGGATTTCAGAAAATCAATGTAGAATACTTCTTAAAGCAGAAGTAAACTGGTTGGGTGCTGTGGGTCACGCCTGTAATCCCAGCACTTTGGGAGGCTGAGGCGGATGGATCGCTTGAGGTCAGAAGTTCAAGACCAGCTTGGCCAACATGGTGAAACCCCGTCTCTACAAAAAATACAAAAATTGGCTGGGCATCGTGGTGGGCACCTGTAATCCCAGCTATTTGAGTGGCTGAGGCAGGAGAATCGCTTGAACCTGGGAGGCATAGGTTGCGGTGAGCTGAGATCACGCCACTGTACTCCAGCCTGAGTGACAGAGTGAGACTCAGTCTTAGGAAAAAAAAAAGTTGTAAACAGTGACCCTTAATTTGGGTATATTTTAAAGAACAATTTACATATCTGAGATAATCCTGAGATTAGGCCTTACACTGATAGTCTCCTTGCTTAACAGATTATGAGAAACAGCTGGAATTTTACATCTGCTGATGTCTAGGTATCCCTTTTCCTGTCTTAGATATGGTTTCAGAACCGAAGAGCTCGGCACCCTGACTCCAGCAGAGGTGGATCTGTGGATTCCCTGGCAGCAGGCCCAAGTCAGAGACCTCATGTGACTGTGAAGATGGAGCAAAGCAGCCTGTCTACTGCCCCATGTAGCTCTGGTCCCTTTCCTCCTTCCAAGTGTTTCAGCAGCAAACAGTCCTTTGTACTGGTTTTTCTCCCATTCTACATGTCCTTGGTTCCTTGGGATCCCTCTGGGAGCTACATGAGTCAGGCACCAGACTCATGACGCTTTAGCCTACCCAGGCTGTGCAGAGAAAGGGCTCTTACCCTCCTCCCTCCTTTGACACTTAGAAATTCTGTGTCAATAGTACCACTTCTATGAGTGGGGCTGTCACATATGCAGACTCGTTTCTGACCCCCATACCAAGGAAGATGCCAAGGTGACAAGGGGAACAAGCACACTGGCCTGGCAGTGCTGCCCTTTAAGAATCTGGCTCAGCCTCAGCCTGGTGACCCTAAACAGCAATGACGGGCCAGTAAGACACAGCTCTTTCTATGCAATGTTGGAATGGGTGTCTCCAGTCCCTTATTGCTAATAGACCTGCATCTCCTGGGCAAACTCAGGCGCTGGTGGCAGCGCAGGCCCCAGCCCCTGAAAAGCTATCACACCACTTGACTGATCATGCCAACCTTAAGGCTTTTAGGTTAACTCCTGTCTGCCACAGATTCTTAGGAAAAGATTACATCTTTGGCAGGGCGTGGTGGCTCATGTCTGTAATCCCAGCACTTTGGGAGGCCAAGGCGGGCGGATCACCTCAGGTTGGGAGTTTGAGACCAGCCTGACCAACAGGGAGAAACCCTGTCTCTACTAAAAATACAAAATTAGCTGGGTGCAGTGGCCCATGGCTGTAATCTCAGCTACTCTGGAGGCTGAGGCAGGAGAATCGCTTGAACCCGGGACGCAGAGGTTGTGGTGAGCTGAGATTGTGCCACTGCACTCCAGCCTGGGCAACAAGACCGAAACTCTGTCTCAAAAAAAAAATCGTCTTTCTAAATCCAGATTCACAGGCAGATGACAGTACATTACCTGAATAACCTCTTAGTGAAGATTTTCAGATTATGCTCCACATGCTGGGAAGCTCACCAGGGCTTCAGATTTAGGAGGAGGAAGGTTTTTTTTTTTTAATTATGACTTCAATCCAGGCCTTCTTTCCTTGGATGCAAAATCAGTGTGATAGAAAGGAGAATGAACAATAAGCACATTGAGTTCTGGAGCGGTACTAGTGAAAGAAGCACCTATCATTCAAGCCCAAAGGGGAGTGTTTTTAAAATTATTTTTAATTGTAAATATAAAACATTTAAGAGCAGAAGGACTAGCCTTGTGGGAGTCCCTTCACCCAATGAAAAAAGAAAGAAAAAAACATGGCCGGGCGTGGTAGCTCACGCCTGTAATCCAAGCACTTTGGAGGCCAAGGGAGGCAGATCACCTGAGGTCGGGAGTTCAACACCAGCCTAACCAACATGGTGAAACCCCGTCTTTAAAAAAAAAAAAAAAAAAAAAGAAAACTTTAATTTACAATCGTGACAATTACTAAGTGTCTAGTTCTGTAATGTTAACACATTGTTGTGTAACAGATAGCTGTAACTTTTTATCTTTCAACCTGAAAGCATAGTTTTTTTGTGTGTTTTCTTGTCCTGGCTACTATAGCATAATTCCACAGACTGGGTAGCCTAAAGAACTGAAATTTATTTTCTCAGTTTTGGAGCTAGAGGTCCTGAGGCGTCTCCTTGGCTTGCAGATAGCTGTCTTGCCACTGCATTCTCGGGGGACGTTTTCTCTGTTCATGCACATTCTTGGCGTTTCTTCCTCTGCCGATAAGGACATCAGCCATATTGTATTACGGCTCTACAGTTATAACCTTTTTTTTTTTTTTTTGAGTTGGAGTTTTGCTCTTTTTGCCTAGGCTGGAGTGCAATGGCACGATCTTGGCTCACTGTAATCTCCGCCTCCCAGGCTCAAGCGATTCTCCTGCCTCAGTCTAACGAGTAGCTGGGATTACAGGTGTCCACCACCATGCCTGACTAATTTTTGTATTTTTAGTAGAGACAGGGTTTCACCATGTTGGCCAGACTGGTCTCGAACTCCAGACCTCAGGTGATTCACCTGCCTTGGCCTCCCAAAGTGCTGGGATTACAGGCGTGGGCCATCATGACTGGCCAGTTATAACCTCATTTAATCGTGGTTAGTTCTGTAAAGGTCTTTCTGCAAATACAATCCTGTTGAGGTTGGGACTTCAACACATGAATTTAGGAGGGACACAGTTTGGTCTGTAGCACTCTTGAATTGCAACTTCTGATTTCCCTTTTTCCTACCCCCTGGCAACCACCATTCTACTTTCTGTTTCTGTGAGTTTGATTGCTCTACGTACCTCACATAAGTGGAATCCTACAGCATCTGTTTCATGTAACTGGCTTATTTCACTTACATGCTCAAGGTTCTTCTACATTGTGGCCTGTGATAGGATTTCCTTTGTTAAAGGCTGAATAATATTCCATTTAATGTATATGACACATTTTGTTTATCCATTCATCTATCAATGGACAATTGGGTTGCTTCTCTTCGTTATCAGGAATAATGCTGCAATGAACATGGATGGTCAAATATGTCTTTGAGATCCTACTTTTAATTCTATTGGTTATATATCCAGAAGTGGGATTGCTGGACATAAATCATTCTGTTTTTCATCCTTTGAGGAAACTTCCTACTGTTTCTCGTAGCTGCAGTACCATTTTACATTCCCACCAACAGTGTACAAGAATTCTCATTTATCTACATCCTTATGAACACGTTATTTTTTGTTGCATTGATAATGGCCATCCTCATGGGTGTCAGGTGATATCTCACTGTGTTTTTGATTTGCAGTTCCCTAATGATTAGCGATATTAGCATCGTTTCATGTGTATGCCTTTTTTGGATAAATGTCTATTCAACTTCTTTGCTCATTGTTCAAGTTTTTTGTTGTCGAGTTATAGGAATTCTTATATATTATTTTTTGAGACAGGGTCTCTTGCTGTGCCCACACTGGAGTAATGTGGTACGATCTTGGCTCACTGCAGCCTCAACTTCTTTGAGCTCAAGTGATCCTCCCCTCTAAGCCTCCCGAGTAGCTGGGACTACAGGCGTGTGTAATCACACCTGGTTAATTTTTGTATTTTTTGTAGAGACAGGGTTTTGTCATGTTGGCCAGGCTGATCTAGAACTCTTGGGCTCCCCAACTGCTGGCACTATAGGTGTGAGCCACAGCGTTCAGTTGGAATTCTTTATATATTCTTGATATTAACACCTTATCAGATATAATTTGCAAACATTTTCTCCCATTCCACAGGTTACCTTTTCACTTTGCGTTCTTTGATCCACATAGGTTTTAACATTGGATATAGTCTTTTTTGTCTGTTTTTGCTTTTGTTGCCCGAGCTTTTAGTGTCCATCCAAGAAATCATGGACAATTTAACCTTATGAAGATTTTTCCTTATGATTTCTTTTTATTTATTATTTTTTTGGAGACTGAGTCTTGCTCTGCCGCTCAGGCTGGAGTACAGTGACATGATCTTGGCTCACTGCAACCTCCACCTCCCAGGTTCAAGCAATTCTCCTGCCTCAGCCTCCTGGGTAGCTGGGACTACAGGCATGTGCCACCACACCCAGCTAATTTTTTGTATTTTGAGTGGAGATTTTATAAATATAAAATATTTTGTATTTTTAGTATTTTTAAGTTTCACCGTGTTAGCCAGGATGGTCTCAATCTCCTGAACACTGTGATCTACCTGCCTTGGCCTCCCAAAGTGCTGAGATTACAGGCGTGAGCCACCATGCCCAGCCTATTTATTTTTATTTATAGAGATGAGGCTGCCCTATGTTGCCCAGGCTGGTCTTGAACTCCCGGGCTCAAGTAATCATCCTGCCTTGGCCTCCCAAAATATTGGGATTATTGGTGTGAGCCACCATGCCTGGCTTCTCTTATGATTTCCATTTTTCCACTTTACAAGTGAGGACAAACCATCCTCTCATATGATTTCTTATAGGAGTGTTATACTTTTAGGTCTAACTCAAAATGAATGGGAGATTTAAATGTAAGACCTAAAAGTATAATATGAAATTTAGAATATGAAAATTAACTCAAAATGAATGGATGACTTAAATGTAAATTTTCATTTAAGGTAAGGGTCCAACTTCATTCTTTTGCATGTAGATATCCAATTTTCCCAACTCTACATCTTGAAGACACTGTTCTTTCTGCATTGTCTGATCTTAGCCCCCTTGTTGAAGACCATTTGACCACATATTCCTGAGTTTATTTCTGGTCTCTGTATTCTGTTCTATTGTTCTATATGTTTGTCTTTATGCCAATACCATGCTGTGTTGATTACTATCGATTTATAATTAGTTTTGAAATCAGAAACTGTGAGATCTCCAACTTTGTTCTTTTCAAGATGGCTTTGGCTATTTCGTTTTTCTCTGAGATTCCACAGGAATTCTGTTTTTTTTTTGAGACAGTCTCACTCTGTAGCCCAGGCTGGAGTGCACTGGCACCATCTTGGCTCACTGGAACTTCCGCTTCTGGATTCAAGTGATTCCCCTGCCTCACCCTCCCAAGTTGTTGGGATTACAGGCATGCACCAACACCTCCAGTTAATTTTTGTATTTTTAGTAGAGATGGGGATTTCACCATGTTGGCCAGGCTGGTCTTGAACTCCTGGCCTCAAGTTATCCACCAGCCTCAGCCTCCCGAAGTACTGGGATTACAGGTGTGAACCACAGCACCAGGCTTAGATTCCATTGGAACTTTAAGATAGTTTTTCCTATTTCTATAAAAAATGCCATTGAAATTTTGATAGAGATTGCATTTAATCTCTAGGTTTTAAATAGTCTGGAAATCTTAGCAATATTAAATCTTTAAATTCATGAACAAGATTGTTTTCATTTATTTATGTTTTGTTAAATTTGGCTGAGTGTTTTGAAATTTTGAGTATACAAGTCTTTTGCCCCCTTTGTAAGTTTTTATTAAACATTTTATTTCTCTTAATGCTTTTTCTTTATAGTTAAGCACAACTGTGATCTTTTTGATGCTTTTATAATGAGATAATTTTCAGATTGTTAATGTATAGAAACACGCTTGATTTCTGTATACTGATTTTTTAAAAAAATCCTGTAACTTTGAATTCGTTAATTCTAATAGCTTTAAGTTTTTCTATTTATGAGACCATGTCATTTGTAAACAGATAACTTCTTTTCCAATTTGAAAGCCTTTTTATTTCTTTTTCTTGTCTAATTGCTCTGGCTAGGGCTTCTAGTCTATGTTGAATGGTAGTGGCAAGAGTGGACATCCTTGCCTTTTCCTTACCTGAGAGGAAAAGCTTTCAGTTTTTTACTGTTGAGTATGATGTTAGCTGTGGATTTTCCTTTTCCTTTTTTTTTTTTTTTTGAGATGCAGTCTCACTCTGTTGCCCAGGCTGAAGTACAGTGGTGTGATCTTGGCTGACCACAACCTCTGCCTCCTGGGTTCAAGCGATTCTCCTGCCTCAGCTTCCTGAGTAGCTGGGACTATAGGCACATGCCACCATGCCTGGCTAATTTTTCTGTATTTTTAATAGAGATGGAGATTCACTATGTTGGCCAGGCTGGCTGTGAACTCCTGATCTGGTGATCTGCCCACCTTGACCACCCAAAGTTCTGGGATTACAGGTGTGAGCCACTGC